TACATAACACGCTAGACACTAGGATGACAACCGCATGGTGGTGGTTGTTGTTGCAGTTCATGTTGATGTTGCAACATCAACTACAAGCATATGCATGTAACTTTTAGACTGGATGTAATTGGATTGATGAACCAGGTATGACAGTTTAATATATTCACTTTTAATTTTCTGCTTGAACCCACACCTGCACTAAAGTGTCAGGTTATGAGCCCAAGGCACAATATTGAAGTCAACATGAAGAAACCAACAGACTTACTCGGCAATGATAACAATTTCCATTGGAAGTTCATCATCGAAATGGAGCTTGCACAGAAGATGCTACGGAATCACGTGGTGGAAATGAAGTCGGAAGCTGAGATGACGCTGGAATGGCGTGCGAATGACATGAAAGCATTCGCCATTATTGCACAAGGAATCCAGTTAGAACACCAATCAAAAATCCGCTCTGCCGTACTGCTCGTGAAGCATGGGAGATTCTTAGAAATTATAACAATCGTTCAAATATTCACAATCGAGTGACTTTGACATAACGTTACATGAGTCCACAATGAAAGATAGAGCAAGCATGACTTCTCACCTGGATAATTTCAACGAGCTGGTAGTTGCGATAGAGGGTTTTGGGGATGGTATGAGCACTGATAGGCAGCTTGGGATCTTGCTCGGCAGTCTGCCGAGCAATTTTGCGATGTCTGATTCTATCATTGAGAATTCTAAGGAAAATTCACTTAACGAACTGAAGGAAAAGCTCTTGAAAGAACACAAAAAGATCGAAAATGCAGAAAAATCGGATATTAGCGCATTCATGGTGCGATTTCGTGGTCATGGTGGTCGAAAGAATAAACAAGGTGGCAGTGGTCGCCAAGATCAGCATATTCGGCAAGGCATGAAACAAGGTAACCGCGAACAACCACTATTAGCTCGCGGTTTCACCGGGCGTTGCCATGGCTGAAACAAGATTGGTCGTAAGAAGGTGGACTGTCCATCAAGTGCACGCAGTAGTGAGGATTGGTATGGGTGAGATTCACATGCAATGCCCTCAAGGTCGCATAGTGAAGATAGTAGACGCTCTCCACATTCCTGGACTAGATCGTCGGCTACTCTCAGTTGCAAAACTTACCCAGAAGGGTCTTACGGTGAGTATGGTATGAAAGAGTGTACTATCTCTCGAGGAGAAGAATTGATAGCGACCGTACCACAAGCAAACAATGTGTATCGCGTCAAGAATTAAGCTGTGAGAGCGATTGACCATCAAGAAAGGCCAGATGATTGGAAGTTATGGCATGCGAGATTAGGACACACGCATCATGACAATATGAAATGTGTAGTTGATGCGAGTGATGGTATCCCTGGAAGACTCCAGCGTGGTCAAGATATATGTGGTGGATGCATGCTTGGAAAGAATACTGTCTCAACATTCCCAAAGCAAACCGTGGTATGATAATAACCACACGAGGTCTACAACTGGTGCACACAGATCTCATGGAATTCATGAAAGTAACGTCTATCGGTGGAGCAAAGTATGTGCTGCGCTTCACAGATGACTATTCACGCTAAATATGTGCATATTTCTTGAAGAGTAAGACGGAAGTGGCAAATCGTTTTCGTGAGTACAAAGCGAAGATGAAAGGGCAACTAGGTGTTCGAATTAAAATCATTCGGTCAGACAATGGGGCTGAATTTGTCAACAAGAAAAATGGAAGGATTTGTGTTGATGGTGGGATCATCCACCAACGCTCTTGACCATATAGCCCTCAGCAAAATGGGCTTGCAGAACGAACAAACCGAATCGTGATAGAGAATGGCAAGAAGCATGATGCTGTACAAGGCTATTGAAACTCGATGGTGGGCTGATGCAGTCAATACTGCTGTGAACCTGTTGAATCGGATGACCAGCACCGTGAACACTGATATTACACCATGCGAGATCTGTTTTGACCCTCGTCCAGACCTCGACCATATTCGTGTCTGTGGTTCTCGGGGGTTCGCACATATTGACAAGTCTCAACGAAAAAAATTCGACGCGACATCATTTCGCTGCATGTTGCTGGGGTACATGGAACGTAGCAAAAGTTACCGTGTGTTAAATCTTGATGCTGGAAAAGTAAAAACAAGCCATTCAGTTGCTCTAGATGAACGCAAAGTATCCAGCATCTGTCATGTGAAAAATTCGGATAAGCCTCATGAGTATCTTCAGATTCCAATTGATGATGCTAAAATTATGGCATCTTGTGTTTCACAGCCAACACAAAGCGATGGTGTGATCATGGATGACGACTTAATTGATAACGACAAGAGAATGCCTTTGGCAGTTGATACCCATATTC